CCTCAACCTCACCGGCCTCGGCTACTTCTCCTGCCACTCGCACACGGTCATGCAGGGCTACGCTTATTTCTTCTTCCTCCGGTGAGTCCCGGGATTGAGGGGGTTCCGGAAAGGAAGGGGTTGGAATCCCGGCTTCGGGGCATCTCCGTGGCCGGGGGGGGAGGGATGGGCGTCCGCTCCTGCCCCGGGGAGTTGGGTCCTGGCTCCGTCCCGCTGCCCGCAGCTCCTGCTCCTTGGCGCGTCCACTCAGCGGGAAAAAAACCCCACCCTAGATCTATCCATACCCTGCCAGCATTGCAGGGCAGCAGATGTACGAGGAGCTGCTGCTGAGTAGCTCCTGGGTGCTGCTGCTTTTTTGTTCTTGCAGCGGGACGGTCACGGCGCTGGAGAGGGGCCAGGGCCTGTTTGCCGAAGCTCGGTGTGGGAGGTTAAAACCCATCCCCAGATGCTCACCCAGGAGCTTTCTCTCGGCTCTCCCGAGTCCCAGCCAAACCCTGACTTCGGGCTCATCGAAAGAATAAGAAAGTAAACCACAATGTGGGCACAGAGCCATCGGCGTGACCTTTCAATCCAAGAGCGTTTGCAAAACGCTGCTCAGTGGCTTGTTTTGAAATGCTTGGTAAATTCTTACACTGGGTGCACAGGGAAACACAGTTTGGTGCTCAGCCCGGGGCAATACCTTCAGGCACTTTCTACACAAGTCATTTACTGGCTGCTCAAAGGACGACTTAAACACCGGGCAAGGCAATGCAAATTCAGGAGGAATCAGGGGCCAAAATATAGATTTGCCCCATTCGTGGGTGTTCATTTTGTGTCTGCAGGGTGGTAGGAGTCTGTTAGGTCCTTACTGTTGCTCCCTGGTCCAGTCCTCCCAGGTGGAAATTGCTGTCTTGGCAGTAAGTGCCAGGAGAGCTGAGGGGCAGGTGCTGGCTGGGAGCCTGCCTGTGTGACCCTGGTGGCACTTGTTGAGCCAGGCTGAGGTACAGCAGGTGGCTTCTGCAGGAGAGAAGGTGCTGTTCAGCCTCACAGGGAGCTGCCCGTGCCCTTTGTGTTTCAGAATGGATGAGAACTACATCCTCCTGCCGCACGGGGTCAACTTCCAGGAGGCGATTTTCCCGGACACCCAGGAGAACAGAAGGATGTTTGCCAGCCTTTTCCAGTTTTCTAACTGCTCGCAGGCACAGCATGTGCTGAGCTTCTCCAGTGACTGGGAGATTCAAGAGGACAATCGGGTAAGGGATTTATTTGTTCTCCATTGCTTGTTTTGAAGTCCCACGACAGTCCCATGCCATTTGCACACGTTTGTGAACTCAGAGCAGCATCCTGCATCCCTGGTTTTCCTGGTCCTTTGGTGGTATCACTGGCAAAGTAACACACTGGTGGGGAGATGCTGAAGTGTTCTCAGAGCTGACCTCTGTGTTAGCTCTTTAGCTTCCTGTGGACCTGAGCAAAGCTGGTTATCCACCAGCAATAGGTGGGAAACAAATAGTGCTTGTGATCCTGTCCTACTCCACCCAGGTCATTCCTGGGTTTGCTCTCCCGTGACTCGGTACTTAAACTCCAGCTGAAGTGTTCAGGAGCAGGGATTTGCTTTTTGACTTCTGTGTTCATCCCATGCAGTGAGAGCAGTGCCTGGACCATGACAGACAGGGTTTTTTCTTGCCTGACTCCACACAGCAGCACAAACATCTACTTCTGAACTAATCACCCTGAGCTGTCTTTGTAGCAGCTGGGGAAAAATAGACTCTTGAGGGCACAGTTCATCTGAGTGACGCCAGCACCTACTTCTGAGCAAGCTGAATGAAATGCCTCTTTCTCCTCTCAAGGGAGGCCACAGCAAGTAGTTCACCCTCCAGGAAATCCTCCCTTAAATAAGTATGTTTTTAGGATGAGAAGCCCAACGATGGTCATTCTTAGTGACTTCTGAGTCCCTCTGTGGGGTTGTAGTTTGTGTAATGAATGTAGGATTTTAATAAATACTTCCTTGGCAGTGAGGAATAACCTGCATTTAAGTGTGTGCATGTTCTGGATGTGCATATATATTTGCAAAAGTGGAACTTGGAGAGCTGTTTTAGTGCCAAACCTTGTTTTATGAGGCTACTTGCTTTTGCCAGTAGCTGAGAACATTTTAAAGAGTCTCTTTAGGTCAGGATGGACAGGACACGTGTCGTTGCTTGCATCTCCTGTGGATTCATCCAAGGCACACAGTATGAGCATACAGCAGCAGATGCACAAGTGGCTTCTTTGGGAGATGGATGGAGGGGGTTTGGTAGCTGGCTGAGACCTTTCCCTTCACCAGCTGGCTGACCACCAGGGTACAAAGTTTGAGCTGCTGCGTGGCCGTCTGGACAGTGACACATCCCACTCCTCAGGATGCCCTGTGAGCAGCTGTTTTCTCACTGCTGCTGTTTTGGGGAGGAAGTTGGGAATGGTGGTGTGTAAATATATATTTGGTAACGGCAGCAGGAACTGATGCTTAAGAGAAAATAAATTATCTTACAATTAGGTTGCAGAGCTGTAACTCTGACTGGGTAAGAAGAGGAAGGCGTAGAGCCCCTGTCCCAGCTCTACCTCCTCTCTGCCAGCCCACAGGCTCCCCAGTGCTCCAAGCAATATATTTGGCAAGTAAAGGCACTGCTGCTGCCAAATCCACAGATTTTGCTCTGGGAGACCAAAGTGGCATTGGGGGACCACCAGATCCAGCTTCCAGTACCTCCTTGTGATACTTCTGCACTGTTTATTTAGCTGTGCTGAGCTAAACGTAGGGGATCTTGCTGGGTTGGTGCTTGTTTATACCAGCAGTGGATCTCCCTGCTTGGCTTTCAGGGAAATCACACAGCAGAGACCCCCAGGGGAGGTTGGGGCAATGGAAACTGTACGTATCAAAAGTGCATTTCAGCTGTTGTGCTCTTTGACCCCGTGCAGCTGTGAGCAGCTAAGGGGGGGATTAGAGCTGCTGGTCACTCAGGCCGGGGCTGGGGGCTTTACAGGCTTCAATACCCACCCGTCGAGTGAATAAATCCAGCTCAACTGATGGACACTTTGTCTCCCCTTTGTAATGAAAAGTAAAAGCTTCCTCTGCACCAGTTAAAAATAGTTCAGGCTGACTGTGCTCCCATTCAGCTCCTGCATCTGTGTTTCCCCAGCCCAGTGCTGGCTCCCCAGCACCTGCCTGCCCCAGCCTGACATGGGGATGGTGTTTCTGGCTGCCAGTCTTGGGAATTTGTTCCCCAGCTCTTCCCAATGCAGGTGCCCATGTCCAGGGTGCAGGTCTCTTTAGTGTTTCTCTCCTTTCTTTGCCTTGTCACATCCAGTGGTGACTTTTCTGGTTGCCACTGCCTTTGCTTGCATCCCATCCCAGTATGAACAATTTCCATTTCCAAAGGTGCTCAGCTGAGCTGCCCCGTACTGATTCCTCAGCAGAAACCTGTGGCATGTGTGGGGAGGAAATTTTTATAAGGGCATGGAGTGATAGAACAAGGGAGAATGGCTTTAAGATGGAAGAGTGAAGATTTATGTTAGACGTTAGGAAGAAATTCTTTAGTGTGAAGGTGGTGAGACACTGGCACAGGTTGTCCAGGGAAGTTGTGGCTGCCCCATCCCTGGGAGTGTTCAAGGTCAGGCTGGATGGGGCTTGGAGCAACCTGGTGTAGTGGGAGGTGTCCCTGCCCATGCAGGGGGTTGTAACTAGATGATCTTAAAGGTCATCTAACCCAACCCAACCCATTCTATGATTCA